ATCTTTCCTACTGATAATTTCTTTCAGTTTTGTCAAAGACGATCGCGAAAGAAGAGTAGGAAAGTGAGTAAAAAAGTAAAGGCTAAGCGAGGTTAATACAATCCAAGTTCGTTCATAAACGAGGAAACTGTCCTAAAGTCATGTCACTTGGAGATAGGCGTATTCTGTACCTCGTTTATGATTATATACCTGTATACTCGACTTGTATACCTGCTCTGTGGACTTACCTATAGTAGATATTGATTACAAAATTTCTACATTACCGATTGTCGGTACGAAGAAAACTGCATTCAAACTTACCTAGGCATGTCTTGTAGTTGTTTAGCCCTCTGTTTGTATCGCGAGAGGGCGAAAAGAAGGGCGAGGACTGGCCAGAGTGTTGATCCTGCTGCCAATTCGCCAGGATTCACGGAACCGACGTCGGCCCCGAGAGCTCGGAGGGCTCCGATGCAGAGGCTCACGTTCTCGACCTGCGCAACACACGTAAACGCTCGTCATCGATTACGCCATAAACTGTATACTAGCTGAATGTGTGTACCATGTGAATCGATCGAAAATATCTTTTTTTTTTCCTTTTTTTTTTCATTTTCCTCCGATTCCCGAGGACACTGGTACGTAACAAGCCGCTGGCTTAAGTTAAAAGCGCGTTGTATAACGCACGCTTTCAATTTCATCTACTTGCTGTTACTTTTGACGGGCAATAGCGGTGAAAGATACCGATGTAGAATTTGATTGCGTTGATGATGAAATATCTTCTAGAACTAACGGTCTACAATCTCTTTGTAATTGGATGTACGATTATGACAAACAAAATTTTCGACAACTTATGTGACATTTTGACAAGATTGCAACACGTTGATTCACTTAACCTGTTTCGAAATTTTATACTTCTCGTTCTATATGACTTATGCTTTTATTTTTTGCAGTCGTGAAAGTGATAAAATAAAAAAAAGAAAACGAAAGAAATAGTCACCAGTCTAGAGTAAAAACAAAATTTATATTGCGTCAAATATTTAACATAATCTAATTGTTTGAAATAATTAAAGAACGAAGCATTTTCAATAAATAGCATCAATAAATATTATGATCTATTTTCATCAATTAATCAAAAGAAAAATAAATTACCCGTTAGAAAAACAAGAAATATTTTTAAATGTTAGTTAACTTTTTCTTTTCCTATACCTGTAACATTTGCGTTACATTTAATTTTAACATGAGTGTATAAATTATAACATATAAATTACAACGATTATATTTATTTTGTATTAATTCGAATAATCGTAAAGTTTCCAACGTTACAATATTCTAATCTAAAGTTTCCACAGTTTATTACAGCCTTAATGGTTATTTTCTGCTAATAATCGCGTCACCCCTTTTCGTTTATTATTCCCCTCAAGATACTAAATCTTACGAACGACTTTAATAATTAACCGTAGCGTACCTACTGTTGGTAATCGATAATTCCTCTTCCAAAAATTAAATTACACACCATGAATGCTTCATAGCATTTCAAACAATCGAATTCACATTATAAATGAATGTTACAAGCTTATAATCAAGTTGTACCTAATACTATATACCGGGTGTCCCAATTTTTTCCGATAAAACTTTGCCATCATGTTTCATCGGTATAAGCGAGAAAAAAATGTTATATGAACATAGGTCGTTTAAAGCTTTGTTAAAAAAATTATAGCAAAAATACAAAATGCTAAGGGAACAGTAACGGGTGTGCCGTTATTACGATACAAAATAGGAGTAGATCAGAGATATATCTTATAGTCTGTTCATGCGAGGTGTGTTTATTATCCGAGGTGATTGAAGGTGTTGAATGTAACTTCTACTACATATATAGTGCTACTCTTGTCTTCCATCATAGTACCCGCAAGTTCGCATTCTCTTCGTATTCGATATTTTTGTTATAAATTTTTAACAAAGCTTCAAAGAACCTATGTTCGTACAACATTTTCTTCTTATTTATACCCATAAAACATGTTAACAAAGTTTGATAAAAAAGAATTAGGACACCCTATATATATATATTAGATGCAGAAACGAATTCTTTCCGACTTTTGGGCGCAATCGAAGTTTTATTTGAAAAGAATGAAAACAGATCAATAATTTCCATTATTGTCCATGATATTTTGCCATTTTCTGGCAGATTGCGAACACCATCGCGATAGAAACAATTATGTATCTTTGTATCAATTATGTCAATCTTAGAAACATATTATTATATAATCCCAAAACTCGTGTTCTTACGTGTTCCATATCCAAAATTTATCGAACGCACGTTAAACCTTAAAAGTTAACATTCAGCATCAATTTCCTTCAAAGCTGTGAAACACGCGAGGGAAGAAACGTTCTTCTTGCAATGTTTTTCAAATAAAGATAAGTATACAAATTCAGGCAACTACGGCGGACGTATCGAGATGACAAAATAGTACATATACCGACGTACCACATCGTTTCGAGGATAGAGCGAGGAAAGTACGGACCGTGGTGTAGATGTACATAAAGGACGCAAGAGAACCGCCGGTGTACATACACGACACAACATTCTACGAAACGTGACCGCCGTGACCATGGCTACCTTGTGCTAGCACGCGTACCGACGTACCTCTTTTGTTTCCATTGTTCTTAAGAACCACGCCGGCTCCGGCTTTTACCCAGAAAACAAACCGTGCTATACTGCACATGCTGCACACGGGGTGGTGAGAGGTACACGAGCCACGGCACAGAGAGAGATGACTCACCAAGCAATAGCCCGGGTGCCCACGCGTAGGTAACGCGGCTAGATCGTTTGTGTGTGTGTGTACGTTTTAGCTGTACGCGGGTACGATGGGGCGCCAGTGGATGTCGCACAGAGAAACGAAATCGAGGAAAACAGAGAAAACCTGCCCTGGGTAATCGACAAGACACGATACACCCTACCGCCACCCCTCTAAGTGCTTTTCATGTTGCCAGCTTTTTACCTCGGCGGAATCGAGAATTCTTCGTTGCTCCTTTCTATCTATTGTACAATTTATATGTTAATTTCTGTGCCTTGTTTTGTTTTCTTCCCTTTACCTTAGATTCATTGTATTTTGGTGATTTATCGTTTTTAGTAACTTCTGCTCCGAAATTTGTAGATACCTGTATTACCCTTTGAGCGAATTCCTCTAGAATTCTTGCGGAGGCTCAAATATCTGGTTATTATCGTAATCTTTTAAATCTCTTTTGAGTGGAATTTTTTCGTGTTTTGCAATTAATTTGGTACATTGTTCAATTTAATGGAATCACATTATAGTGTATATCAGGGGTGACCAAACTGCGGCTCGCGAGCTGTACGAGGCCCTTCGGGGCTCGTATTGCGGCTCCCATATGTTTTATGACATGTTATAATTCCTTTGTATGTAACGTGCCAAAAATATCGCGATTACTGTTTTCATATAAGGCGATTCCTCGTACAACGCGTATATATGTCGCTTACTTAAAAAATAAAATTCTCCTATCTGATAAAACTTAGGAAATAAAAGTTTACTGTTACTGTTAAACCTTTCGTATAATATAATATAAAGTTCGATTTAGACTCGATGCACACGAGCAACGCGACACCGTTGTAATTTTATTTATACAAAAAAAAAATTAATAAATTTATAATAAAACTATTGTCTCAAAAAGATATACATACACACACACACATAAACGTGTATAATACTGCTCCTATAGAGGATGCTGCTCTCGAGGATTTTTGATGGACGATATTAAGTTCCTGCTATGACAAAGTTTGGCCAGCCCTGCTATATACTCTAACAGCCTCCCTAAAAAAAAAAAAGGAAAGAAATGCAAAACGTAGAATGAACCAAACCAAAATATCTTAGCTTGCGTATTTTCTGGCAATTTTTGTACAAAAAGATTAAAAACTAAAGAAACATCAATAGTTTCAGTACTTTCATTTCGTCAGAAAAATAAATTTCCATCGACGAAAAGAAGGTCATAAAGAGCTTGTGAGCGCAACCAGAGTGTTCACGGTTGTTTCAGGCTTCGATACTTAAAATTTCTTTGCGCAAACTGTTATTTTCGAAATGCACATCGACGTGAAAATGTCGAAAAAGCAGTTTTACGATACTTTCACAAGAACATAAAAAACTGTCAAAGGGAGATATGGAAATGGGTACCCGGTTGCCTAGACAAGGTTTCAAGCTCGTCAGTTTACGTTTGTTCATTAATCACCGACTACAAAATAAATCAAACATCAGCTTCGTCGCTCGAAACAGTACCGTTGATGCACGTTGTGAAGAAACACGCATTCCTCGAACGTTTATCAGAGTCCATTAACGACGAGCCTTTGATATGAAATCTCGGTTAAAAATTACACATGACACGATAAAAGGTTGCGGGCTTTTGTCGACGTGTACGCGGACCTTTGTCGAGGCATCGCTCGCGAGCATACAGCCGGGACACACTGAAACTCCCTTGAACCAGTCACAGATTATCCACACAAGATGACAGCCGTAAATGGCGGTGGCGCTTTTTAACGCATTCCTCTGTCTACCCCGCCGATCGTCCTCGCCAGGCATGTACACTTACGTGAGTACGTCCGACCGCGAAAAAGAGGACCGCCGACTTAAGGGAGACATCGCGTTTCCTAATAAAGGGTTGAATGTGCATCCAACAGGTTGTCCTATTCTTGATATCGATCGTCACACTTTTTGCCTCGGATTCTTTCGATACTCT